TCTGGTACACTTCGTGCCAACCGATGGTGGCGCTCCGCTTAGATAGTCCTGCCGGCACTAAAACCATCCTGGGCAGAACCCTGAATACAGATCTATTAAAATTATGAAAATATGTACCGTACATATTTTAAGCAGGTTTGTGAGAACTGGTCATACATGTGGTTTTACGTTTACGTGTACCGAGGCATGACAGATGCAACATTCCATACTTCAATGTACCATTGGCTTCTTACTGAGGTACAAATGCGAGCCTCTACATGTACAGTACTTGTATGTATACTTGTACATACTGTGCATGTAACACAATATGTACATCCATGTTCTATGGTACATGTATCACTGGCTACTTTTCCTTTGGGCAGTGCTGTGTTCTCGTCAGCTACCCTCCATCCTCAAGACATGTTCAGTGTTGCATTCTAGTTTGGCTGAATGCATTCAGGTAGCAAAGACTGAAACCCTTTGTTTTGCATTCTCTCATCTCTCTACAGGGGTATTTTTCATATTCTTATTGGAGCTGGTGTCAGCTTGCTGATGATCTTCACCATTGACCCTAAAGTTGTTCAGTACTACGTCTTTGCATTTGCCATGATACATTTATCATGGGTTCATCTGTACATGCAAGTTCGCAATGCTGGAGTAGGAAATCTGGACTATATTGGGTGAGTCGCTTCCCTTCGCCAAGTACAATGTACATATACATGTAGCTTGCCTTTGAGTGAGTACTTTGTTGTGTTTAAGGTTCAGTTAACACAGTAAATACATGAGAAATTAGGAAACTGTAATTATCAGCAATTAAGCAACACTTATGTGAACTTTGTAAACACAGAAACATCTTGTTGGTTTGAAATTGGTAAAGTAGTCAAAACGCATGTATACATGTACATGAGTCCAGTCCAAAAGAATGTTCAATTGATCAAATAAAATCAAGTAAACTCAGCACTCTCATGTTGTTTAGCTCTACCAGTACTCAAATTACATGCAGTAGTCTTTGGCCCAAGTAGGTTTTCTGGTTTGTCTCTTGGGATGGTTCTGTGGTTTAAGTGTGCTGAATTTCGAAAGGGTGGCAGGCCTTAATGTTTGTGAATTTGTAGAAAGGTGTGTGGCATTTCATGTTCTGCCATCATCAAGTAGGTAAGTGGACGGACCTTTAGATCTGGTGTGAGGGTCCATAGCGGTTACAGCCCTTATGCACATGTCTAGGATGCTTGACACACATATTGTCCTCTCCTGTCTGGAAACGGGGTTGTACTGCACCATGCTTCTGGTCTGTGTTCTGCTTGTAATTCCACTGATGATGTTCCACTCAGCTGTGGATATCAGGCGATGTACATGTACAGTGGCCAGTCTCTGTTTGCCGAATGTTCAGGTTCATAGTCATGGGCCGGTTATTTAGTAGTTCTGCTAGTGACTTGCAAGTGGTAGCGTGTGCAATTGCTCGATATGCTGTCAGTAGTTCCAGAGTTGCAGCTTTCCAAGGTTTGTGTTCACGAGTCGCAATTTGGAGGGCTTGCTTAAGAACGTGATTAAATTGCTCAATGAGACCGTTTGCCTGCGGGTGGTACAGAGATGTGCGAATGTGTTCTATTCCTCTTTGGCTCAAGTACGACTGAAAGTCGGCAGAAATGAACTACGTTCCATGGTCCGAAACCAGTTCATCAGGAAGCCCTTCCCACGTGAAAAGAGAGTGAAGCATGGAGCAGACGGACCGTGAAGTGGCCATAGCTGTAAAGGTAATTTTTGGCCTTTTACTGTAGTAGTCCATAACGATAAGTAAAAATCTGCAGTTGTGGGAGCCATGTTCAATGGGACCGCAAATGTCAACAGCTAACTTTTGCCACGGTTTTGCAGGAAGGGGAACAGGCTGTAGTGGCAGAGTGGGAGTATACATGTACACTGCCTTGTCAAAAGCTTGACAAGCAGAACAGTTGTGAATTTGGTGCTCGATCTGTTTGTCCATTCCTGGCCATCAGTAGCATTCACGTAGGCGTTGTTTCGTACGAACGATGCCTTGGTGCCCTTGATGTGTAATGGTAATTAGGCCAGGCTGAAGAGCACATAGAAAAACGAAGCTATCGCCTCGCATAACACAGTTATCAACAACTGAAAGTCCATCCTTGAGGGTGAAGTACATGTAGGGTTGTATCTCTGCGGTAATTTTCTACTAAGAGGGCCAACCAGAGATGATGTAGTCAGACACAGGTTGAAGGACTGCATCTGTCACTGTTGCAGTGTGGAGTTCAGTCTTTGTGACAGCAGAAGTATCGACCAGTAAGGCTCAGATCCACTGAACAATAATTTCATCATCCTGGTAACACCAGGATGATGAAATTATTGTTCAGTGGATGGTGTTCAGTAGTTCGAGTTGTAATAGGGAGTGGCAATCTGGATAGAGCATCAGCCACTCGATTGTGTGCTCCAGCAGTTGAAGTTGAAGTTCAGCAAGCGTGCGGCCCATTTGGCAATGCGCATTGGTTTGTGACTACAGTAAACTCCGGCTAAGTCGGAACTCTCAGGAATCAAGAAATTTTGATGACTTACACAAATGCCAACTTGTGCTGTAAGTCTTCATTTTTCTGACTTACACGTACAGTACACATGTATTGCCTATGTACATGTACATTATGATTCCTTACACTAATTCAATGGCTTTGATTTACCCTGGTTTATTTCTACCTCCATGGTCGATCCCAGCAAATTCGTTCTCGATTATTATCCTCACGGGCTGCAAATTTGATAATTGATCATGTGCTCCTAAGGACGAAGCAAGGACGGCAAGCCACTGCATATCACATCACGACTTGACAGTGCAGTACGTACATGTACGTGATACAGTTACGGGCGTGTAATGCTTTGGATCTCTTGTGAGACGTACAGTGGTGTGGAATGTACCCAGAACTGTAATGAGCTTGTGATGGTATGTAGTAAGTTTAGATGTTGTAGGTTGCAAGGCCTCAAGTGTGAAGAACTTTCCAAGTGTAGATGCAGGAATTATTGACACTGCAGCACCAGTGCCAATAATCATGGTAAGTGGAACAGATGAGCCAAGAATGACAGGCACTTGCCACTGTCCACATGCAAAATGTGCTGGATTGTCAGGACATTGGAATCACTGTATGCAGGAAGACTGACATGATCCTCTTCAGTGTGTAAACCATGAACTGGATAGCTTGTACATGTACATGTAGACCTGAGCATAATGTCACAGTTTACGGCATTTAGTGCGTGTACATGTACAGTGTAGCATTTCTAGCTTTGCAGTTCAAGTTGTTCACCACATCAGTAACAATACTGTGTCTACCGTTGCTAGTTTCTTGATCAGCAGTAGTATGATTTTAGCACAGTTGGCGATGTTTGGGAGGCCTACGGCATTTAACTGTGTGTACATCAGCATCTGCTGTATGAACAGAGTTCTCTCCAATGATTTTGGACTCTGGCCAGGCTGACTCAACTTGTCAGGCAATGGTGATTGCATTTGCGAGTGTTAGCTCTGGTTCCAGAAGAAGTCTCTCTTGAATCTGCGTTGAGTATGTGCGTTCAATGAATTGATCTCTGATCATCTCATCTGATGTGTTATCGAAGTTGCAGGAGGATGCAAGTGCACGTACATTGTGTATTTCATGAATGTAATCCTCAACAGATTCCCCTGGCAATTGGGAACGTCTGTGAAATTTGTACTGTTCAGCCACAGCGTTCAGTTTTGTCTGGAAGTGTCTGTCAAGGGCATGGAGAGCAGCTTCATATTCGTCAGCATCATCTGTATTCTCTTGCGGTAATGTATGGAACATCCGCTGACCTTCAGTACCAAGGCAATGCAGAAACAGTGGAGGTTTATGAACAGCAGAGCATTAGCACCTGATGCAATTGTGTATGTTTCAAAGATACCGCGCCACTGTATCCATGGAACGGGCGCAGTTCCAGGTGTTATTAGAACAAACAGAGGGAGTGGAAACGATGCTATAGCGTAAAGACACTTAAGTGCGTTCTGTCCTCCCTCGTTACCAAATTATGTTGTGTTCAAGGTTCAGTAAACACAGTAAATGCACGAGAAATTAGGAAATACTCAGAACGATTACCCAGCTTTTTTCCACTATCTCCAACATGGCGCAGCATGTCTCCCTCCTCTCTCCTGAGGGCGCCATTCATATAACATGGACACAACATACATGTACATGTACTTCCCCATTGTCAATAAGCCTGCCTTTGGATGAGTACATGTACTTCCCCATTGTCAATTACATACAATTGTAGCTTACCCTTCAGTAAGTACATGTAGTTCCCAATTGTCAACTAGCCTACCTTTGGTTGAGTACTTCCTCATTGTCATAAACTTGGCCTTTAAGTAGGTACATGTACATGTACTTGCTCATTGTCAACTAGCCTGCCTTTGGGTTATTACCTCCCCATTGTCAACAAGCTTACCTTTGGTTGAGCATCTCACGATCAGTGTATATCTTCCTTCCAAAACGTAAACCAAAAAATAGTGATATTTCCTACTTTACCAAACAAAATAAAAGAGAATGAGGTGAAACAGCATCTCATAAGATTGCAAGGGTCAAAAATCTGAAAGTATACAAGTTCCTAGCATGTACATGTACATGTACATTTGCATATAACATTGAGGACAAAACACAGATAGAACTGGATGTTTCCCTGCCACATTGTCAGAGTATTAACAATCTGGAATATGTTTCCTTATATCCTTACATCTGTACAATGTTGTTTTTAAAAAATATTTTGTTCCTTTGCATACATGTACTTGTATTTACTTTGCATGCATTTTCAAAGTCTGAAGATAAGTACAGTGTAGATTTCTGTGGTTTCAGAAAATCAGCCCCCTCCTCAGAAAATAAACACAGTCAACAAACATGTACATGTATATTTACATTCTTTGTTGTTACACGTATAAAGGATAAATAACATTGCCTTTCTGAGACTGAAAATTCAAGAGCAACCAAAAATGCAAAGTACTTGTACGTGTAGTTTGCTTGAGATCAGTATCCCCTAGTACCGGTACATGTGCTTTAGTATTAATTGCAATGTACTGTTTATGTGTGCCTTCGTTTAACAGACCCATGATGATTCTCACTGTAAAGACAAGCAGTCTTGCCTTCAGCATTCATGATGGTAAGTAGGCCCTACATGCAGTACACACAGAGCTAATGTGAATGTGTCAGATGAATTACATGTACAGAACTTTGCTCTTTATAGACCTACATGTACATGTATGTGTACATGTATCTGCTGACTTGATACCAGACAGTTCAGTATACATGTATTATGGAAGCTGTGACATGAACTTACATTTTGTAAATGTACATGTATCTGTCAATTTTTACTTATTTCACCTTGCAGGATTCACCAAAGATGAGTCAAAACTGAACAGCTTGCAGAAACAATTAGTTGTCAGGTATGAACGTAAATAATTGGTTACATTATCATGTAAGTCACTACACTTATAGTACAGTCGATTCTCGTTGTGAAAACGGCTATTCCAAAATTTCTGTTATAACTGACATGTACTGTACATGTACACACATCTGTGGTCCTGACAAAAATGTCCACATTTGTGTTAAAACAAACTCACATTGTACGATATTTTTGTTGCAACGACAGGATTTGTGACTCTGTTGCCTGAAAACCAATTTTTGATGACCCATTTTTAACCACTTCGCACCGGTGGCAGTCATCAATGTTGATGGTGCCGGGGTGGGATAATTATCATTTGTTTTTCTGTTTTCAAAATTCCTAGGTGAGACTTTAGGCTATGCATGTTGGAAGTACATGTACTAACTATGGACAAGTTTGCGGTGACACCATGTGGATATACATGTATTTCTCTTTTGTGAGTGTGTGTGGTTCAAAGAAGAACCGGGGTTCACTCGACATTTCGGACAGTGTGCTCTGTCTGTCTTCAGGAGAAAGAGTGCCGAACTCATGCGTGTGTGGCCTTTAAGTACTGGTTGGGAGGATTGAGTGTAGTGGGAACTTGTTGATTGGATGATGTCCTCAACTGGGATCGACTTGGGTGGGAGGGCAAAGTTCTTACCCAAGGACAAGACTTTGTTCTCCGTGCTAGAGAGTCTCCGGTTAAGGTTCACCACTGTCTCCTTGAAGATGGAGCCAGCACTACAACACCTCAGCAAGACCGCATTCTATCTCCTTCCTTGACGTCAAGGTCCACCAGTGTGCAGATGGTTCCCTCGGGCACTCTGTCTACCGTAAGCCCACCCACACAGACCTGTACCTGTACCTTTCCATCATCCCAGCATAAAATCTTCAGTCATCCGTACCCTGATCCAACGAGTACACAAGATCTGCGATCAAGAATACTTACAAGATGAACTCCAGCACATCTCAATGGCACTCCAGCTCAAAGGATATCATTGGCGCTAAGTCAAGACTCAAAAACACCCTGACTGTCGGGTTGACTTTACCCAAAGTCAACCCCCAACTATAAGGACATAGTCAACCTCCCATTCATAGGTAGTACGTCATACAAGATCCAACGGATCCTCAATTAAGCTAGCATCAAGGTGTATCACTCATCGATCAAGAAAATCCAAGCCAGCCTGCAGACCCACAAGGACAAGCAAGACCACAAGACCAAAGCTGGTGTGTATAGGATCCCCTGCGAATGTGGGAAGGTGTATATTGGCGAGACTGGAAGAGATCTCTCTACCAGAGTCAAAGAGCACACTGCCCATGGCTGCAGAGGAGACTATGACAAATCGGCCATAGTGAAGCACTCACATGCTGAAGACCACATCATCAACTGGAAAGCAGCAGAACGCATCGTTCCTGTCAACAGATGGCACCCTAGATTCATCAGAGAAGCCATCAAGATCTGCAGACACAACACAGTATCCCAAGACATGGGCTTCAACATAAGCAACATCTGGTGCCCCCTACTACCCAGCCAGACCAATGGGTCCTCTATACCCACGGTCCACAACCCTCTCCCCATGACACCTACGTCAACAGTGACACTCATCACCGAGCCCACCAACAGCAACCCACAGGATTAGGATCCAAGCACCAGTTAAGCTATTCCGCCTCATCGAGTTCCCACTACAATCAATCCTCCCAACCAGTACTTAAAGGCCACACACGCAAGAGTTCGGCACACTTTCTCCTGAAGACGGACAGAGCACACTGTCCGAAACGTCGAGTGAACCCCGGATCTTCTTTGAACCACACACACTCACAAAAGAGAAATATATCCACATGGTGTCACCGCAAACTTGTCCATAGTTCCAAATTCCTATCTTCATTTACTGGACACTTACACCCACACAAAGGACTGTCTGGTTTCTGCTCTAATCTGACAGACAACATCAATTGATGCTGGAGTATTTCAGCCAGGCCTGTTTAATTTCCTTTTGTTCATGAAACTGGCACAGTGCGCGCTGACCTCTTTTAGTAGAGGCCAGATTAGTGTGCGGTGGTGGAGCGCTTTTGTCCCCGGTGGTAATTCACTTGCGCTAAATCCCCAAAACTGTGGTATACTGTTTCAAAACAAGGCTGGATTATCTCCACTATTGAGAGTGAAAAATATTGGTAATGCCGAGTAGCCTGGTCTTTTGTTACAAGGTCTAGTTCCCTTTGTCAGATTTCAGAGACCCTGGCCACACGTATAAAGAATATGTGGAAACCCCGGTGGCAAGTGGACAATGGGCGTTTACGAGTCACGGTGGTGAAAATTCTTGTGCAGTGCACCTCACTGGTTCCCACTGGGCCAAACCATTGCCAAAAAAAGGCGTGATGGCAACTAGTCATTGTACATATTACAGGCACAAAGTGTCGCACATTGCATTTCATTATATGTGAATGCAGCGTTCAGTTGTGAGTTGAAAACATCACCAGTACAAAATTACTGCAAGTTCATTCACACAAATTGATTTCATGTCTACGTTTGTTTTTTCTGTGTTCATAAATTTAATTTTAGGTGGTACTGCTTGAATTCGAAGCGAGTGTGTTTCCACAAAATTTCCAGCCACAGCATGAGGCTTATCACCCGCTTTCCATTATACATCACGTACTGGTACACTAAACAATGGGATATGCAGATATCGTTCACCAGTTTCCTATCATGACATGCGTAGTGCACAATTAAAAAATCAATGATTTTTACACTGATTATGCAAACACACAACAAAACGTCCCTTCCCAATTCTGATAAAATACAACCCAATAAATTTGCTGATTCTCGCTTCTCAAGAGCCTAACTAATTGCCCACACTGAATTACATGTATCCATATTGCTTTTAAAAAGATCTAGCGTGACCACCAATGAGATTGTGCGCTTTCATGATGTACATTTTGCCAGACGGTTATCCAATCACAATATTCCCTCTTGACGCCATACAACTTCATTCCAGTGGGTACGATCTTGCTGCTCCGTATTGTTTCCCACCATGCCTTGCACGATCTAACCCCTGATATGGTATAATTTAGATATCTCACTATTTGGGATATTTGAATGAGGACTTTAGTTAGTGTTTACGAGTGATGCAGAGTTATGCTTGCGTGACGTGCAAGAAATTAAGTGGGCACGAGTGCAGCTTTTGAAATACGCTCGTGATTGAATTTACATTTATGTACATGTATATTTATCTTGAATAGCCAGTCAGCGTCATTTTCGTATGCTACATGTACACGACAAGGGGCTAGTGAGGAAATGTGCACGCAGCCCATGGAGTCGAGGTTGGACATCATACTTCTTCAGCAGCTGCACTGTGGTTGGCGAGTGAACTCAGAATATCGATCAATCATGGTCAAGCAGCTAGTGCCGAACATCAAAAGACAGGCAGAAGTTTAAAACGAGAGCTTCTATGTCTGTTTGCAACAGAACATAGGGCTTTTTTGCATTTCTGAGCTTTTCAATGAAAATGCCTTGGTTATGATTGCATACTACATGTATATCTGCAAAGTTTCAACCCGCTGGGACAATCACTTCAGGAAATATAGGGCTTGAAAGGTCACACCTTTGATGTCACGTGACTTCTGAACTGATGATGACCGTCATCATCCCATGACGTCAATTTTCGTGGATCACGCATTCCCCTCTAGATATCTGCAAAGTTTCATCTCAATGGGATATTTACTTCAAGAAATATAGGGCTTAAGAGTTTGCACATTAAATGCCCTGTGACGTGACACTGATGGCGTCATGATCACAATTTTCTTGACGGCTCCACTGTGTTCAAAACCAATAGGGAAAAATAAGTACTCAAAATTGAATAAAAAATCATTTGATGACGTCATCATGACGTCGTGCTTCGCGGCACATCTTTGCCCTAGGGTCCTTGCTTGAGGCAACTTTGATGAAGATTGACCCTTGCAAAGGGACTAAAGTGCTCCGGAGAAGAACTGTACCAAAGAAGTAGAAACAAGAAGAAGAAAACGAAAGCTTCTATGTCTGTTTGCAACAGAACACAGGGTTTTTTGCTTTTCATTGAAAATGTCATTGTCATGATGGCATATCTGCAAAGTTACATCCCGCTGGGACAGGTACTTTTGGAGATATAAGGCTTTAAAGGATGCACCTTTCATGGCACGTGACTTGCCAATTGATGACGTCATCATCCCATGAGGTCAATTTTCGTCTATCACACATCTCCTTTCAGATATCTGCAAAGTCTCAACCCGCTGGGACATGTGCTTTTAGAGATATAGGGCTTTAAATGATGTATCTTTAATCTCACGTGACCTGTCAACTGATAACATCGCCATCCCATGAGGTCAATTTTTGTCTGTCACACATCCCCTTTCAGATATCTGCTAAGTCTCAACCAGCTATGTACATGTAGCACAGAAAGTGCAGACAAAAACTGGCAATTGGGAAAGTTTTGTAATACATATACTTTTGCCTACCAGAACCAGTTCCAGCACTTCATCCATCCAACTTCTTAACCCAGCTGCCCGGCGCTGCACTATGTGTAGCTGTTGGGCCCAGTGCACCCTTGCTTATGAATTGCAAAAAAGCCAAAAGAAGAAAGAAAAAAAAAAACCTTGACTGAAAAATGCCTTTTTCGCAAAATTCGAAAAAGCTAAAAAAAAAACCTTGACGAAAAGAATGCCTTTTCCATAACTTGTGGAAAAGCCAAAAAAATATCTTGACAAAACAAACAACTTTCTCGCAAAATGTGATAAAGCCAATAAAAATGTCTCTCCTTGACTAACGTGTACATGTAGTTTGTGTTGGAAAGACTACTTACTGCATAGGGGGTTTCAGCTGAGGAGTCCTGAAATTCTTGCAGGCCTACGTGTGCATGCCGTTTAGTAAGCTTTGTCCTTATTCATGGCAATCTGAAGTCTTTAAAAAAATCCCTGGATCGGTGCTTTCACATGTATTTGCGTTTTATCTTCCATGTACATCAAAGATGTTGTCATACGGTATGAAGTTTATTATTCTAAACACATCACAATATATTTAATTAATCATATTAACCGAGAGATCTTTTTGGCATTGTTAACATCAACCACGTTCACATGTACAATGTGTGCACGTATAGTACATGTACATGTTAATGTACATTGTACATGGCTTTACACATAATGGACCTATCCATACAATGCACCGAAGCCATTGCATCGTTCCACCTAAAACAAATTTCGGATGCAATAAATGTTTCTACTAGGTCCCGCGGATTTCGTAGTAATGAGAGTCGACTGTACATCACAGTTTACTGCTAATTTTTGAATGAGCATTTTCTCGACACTTTTTCCTTCTCACAGGGAATTCATTCTATGTCACAAAATGTGAAAACTTGGGAAAACTACTGTAAATTGGGAAAATATTTTCTAACAAATGAGAAAAGCTTTTCACAGATTTTCCCTCAAGTTGTTAAAAATTTTGAAAGATTTTCCCACCATGGGAAATGATTTTCTCAGATTTCGTCACAAGTGGGAAAGATTTTCAGAGTTTCCTATGAATTGTCAAAACATTTTCATACCTCTTTCAAACTAGTGGGACATTATTTTCACACCTTGTGGAATGTGAGTGTTAATGTAAATATTCTTTTCACAAGTTTCCCCATTCCTATTCGCAGTGCTAATATTTCCAGTGTAATATCCTGTACATGTAAATTTGAAACAATGCCTCCATCTCATGTACTTTTAAAAATTATAGTGACACCTTTTTGCAGCCTCTGAATTCATGTTTATCAAGGTTATTTTGTCCAGTATCCCACAGGCCTTCCAGTCTTACATGTAAGTACATGTATTATCCTGCAGTTTGTAATAAAATTTAGGACCTCTATCAAGAATATGATGTCAAATGATTCACTTTCAGGCTTTCACACTGTCAATATTACTTTCTGTAAATAGTAAAAATCACTGTTTTGGTTTTTTTCAGGAGGTATCCTAGATTCCTGGAGTTCTGGAGTTATATCTTCAGCCCTCAAGGTCTTCTTGTTGGACCAATCTGCTACTTCTCCAACTATGTGGATTTTATCCAGGGAAATAACTTTATTCGGAAGGTCAAAAATGAGAGCGGAGAAGAGAGGATAGTCTATGAAGAGCCTTCTTCTATGGTAAAAAATTACCCCTAATGCCATGTATGTCTATCTTTGAAATTCATAGCAATAATGCATTCCTACTTGCTCTTCTTGATGCTTACAGACGGCCCTTCATGGACTCCCAATTCATGTTTACTCCACTGAATGGCAGCAAAAAGTCCTTCATGAACATCAAATGCTCCTACAGTCTCTTCTGAATACTTACATGTACAACCAACCCTTCCTTAACACTTAATGCATTCTTACAGTCTCTTCTGAATACCTACAAACAATCCTTCATGAACACCGAATGCATTCCTGTCATCTCTTCTGAATACCTACAAACAACCCTTCATGAACACCCAGTGCATTCCTATACAGTAGTCTGTTCTAAATACCGTTACTCTCCCACAAACTGTTCCCCTATTTGCATGTAGATGGTAGATTACACACATTGTACACAGCGTTTTGCATTCCACACGCGACCCCGTTGCTCTATGCTGCAACATGCCCTTGAACCGCAACTCCGAAGCACACTTCCAACTTAGTCATTTTCCGCCAAATCTTCTTCAGAGTCGATCCTATGTTCAGTCGCACATATAACCCTTACATTCGACCCACACAGACCCCCAACTCATACTTTATGTGTCCTGCCAAACCACATACCGAAAGCCTGTGTCTGGTCACGGCACAGCGAGGTCAATTACCTCCGCTCACCCTCAGTTTTACCCCGTAAGAATTACGTGTAGATTTCCTAGCCATCCAGAGACTAAGTGTTGTACACAACCCAATGTACCCAGAAAGGCTCACCTTTTCTTTTCCCTTGTTGACCTATTCCCCCTTGGCTCACCCACGAACAGCCTTTCACCCTCCCGCTCCCAAACTTCTCTGACCTTATCACTCTCTAGAAACTTAGTCTGTGAATACCAAGTGTGTACAAAATCCCCATAGACTTTTCTTCCATAGATTTTCTACATGTATGAACTATTCATAACTACCCCAATCCAGTGCTCCCATTGGCTAAGACACAGCCCCAAAAGTCTATATAAAGCGACCTGCTCCAGCGGTCAGCATCGATCATTCCCAAGCAGGCAGCTTTAGAGAAACAACTCCCTGACCGTTCGTTAGTGTATAGCTCCGATATGAACAACCTTTCTATCACTCCCAAATAAATACATGTAGCTCAGATTTGGATGAGCAGTAAGTGAGTAATATCCAGCCTTACAAGTAGCAGTTGCTCATTGTAAATATGGAGATGTAAATCATTCCTCGGGATAAATTAGTAGTGTGTCTACCAATGATTCTCATTCTTTATGATAACGACTCCCTATCCCAAGAGAGACTTTACAATACTTACAAACAGCCCTTCATGATCCTTGACGCCCACACGTACTGGGACAAGATGGGTGAGCTCATCTCCATGGGCCCTTACCGGAAATTGGCTGAGGACCCCACCGACCGGCTCTGCAGGAAGATCACAGCCTAGCTTCTCGCCCTTAACAAGTCCGGAGATCTTGACAATGCCAGCTACCGGAAGTTACGCCCCACCAGCAAACAGCCTCCCCGGATGTATGGTCTACCCAAGATCCACAAGCCGGGGACACCCTTGAGACCCATCATTGCATGCGTGAGTTCCTTTGCCTACAACCTCTCCACGCACCTAGCTGGGATCCTGTCACATCTGACCGGTAGCACACCGAGCACCATGCCCAACTCCACAGCTTTTGCAGAGTCCCTCTGCCGGCAGCACATCGACAGCCATGAGGCGTTGATCACTTTCGACGTCCTGTCTTTGTTTAACAATGTCCCCATAGATGGCGCTTGCTGTGTGGTCCTTCGTCGCCTGAAGGAGGACCCTGAGTTGCCTCACCGGACATCGCTCTCCCCTGCCGAGATCGTCTCCCTGCTAGAGTTTGTCCTGTGTTCCACGTATTTCCTGTATGATGGAGCGTACTACGGACACACAGACGGAGCAGCCGTGGGTAGTCCGGTGTCAGCGGTTACTGCCAATCTGTACATGGAATCGTTCGAGGAGGAGGCCCTGCAGAGTTGCCCACCCGACTGCCATCCTACCCTGTGGAAGCGGTACGTCGATGACACCTTTGTCATTGCACCACGGAATCAAGCCAGCCGTCTACTCAACCACCTGAACAGCCTCAAGCCCAGCATCCAGTTCACCATCGAGAATGAGCAAGACAACAGCGTCGCATTCCTGGACACCATGGTCCACTGGGAACCCAACGGCAGCCTGACCAGCACTGTGTATCGCAAGCCTACCCACACCGACCAATACCTGGCCTTTGACTCACACCACCCAGTGTCCGTCAAGAGGGGCGTGGCCAAGTGCCTACATGACCGCGCCTCACGCCTAGTCACCAGACCGCGCCCCACAGCCGCCGAGTCACCGCTGCCCTCACAGCGAACGGGTATCCAGCGTCCTTCATCCGGCAATCATCAAGACCCAAGACCAGCACCAAACTGGAGCGACCAGAGTACAAGGCTTTTACCGTTCTTCCCTTTGTGGACGGTATCTTCGGACGGCTGAAGAGGATCCTGGAGGACCACGGCGCTCACACCGTGTTCCGATCATCCATCACCTTGAGGAACCAACTCATGCATCTTAAGGATCCCATCCCACCCGGAAGACGTAGAGGAGTGGTCTACAGGATACATGCGGTGACTGTGATAAGGTATACATCGGCGAAACTGGCAGATCAATCGGCGAGAGAATCAAGGAGCACCAGCACGACGTGAGACTCTCCCGTGTGGAGTCGTCAGGGGTAGCCGAGCACACCTGGGGAGCTGGTCTTCACCTCAATTGGGACGACGTGCAGTGCATGGACCAAGACCAGCATTGGTACACAAAACACGTCAAGGAGGCCATCCACATCCGCCTGAATAGACACAACATCAACAGGGACAGCGGCATCGACATCCCCGGGTTCTGGCTCCCCACCATCCGCCAACACATCCACCGGAGCACTGGAGCACAACAGAGCCACACCGAGGACTCGCCCCCTCACGCCCATGGAGTGGAGCGTGCGACCCCCGCTGAGGTCACCCGTACTGCTCCGCAATACACGGCGGGTGGCACGCGGTCCAGTGGTATACAGCGGACTCTGCAGCATCCAGACTTCAGTTGCCTGATGAAGGCTAGCAGCACCAGTAGCCAAAACGTCGCTACTAGCAACACAACACCGCGAGTCATCAATTATCTTTTTCCTGTATTTGTCATCCACCGCGGTGATTATGTTTATCTCTTCTATTGACCCAGTACATTCTTACAGTCTCTTTTGAATGCCTTCAAACATGCCTTTTTGAACACCAAGTGCATTCCTACAGTCTCTTCTGAATGCCAAGAAATAACCCATCATGGACTCCCAATGCATTCTTACAGTCTCTTCTGAATGCCAAGAAATAATCCATCATGGATTCCCAAAGCATTCCTACAGTCTTGTCTGATGCTTACAAACAGCCCTTCATTGACCTCAACGCATGCCTTCAACGCATGCATACACTTCTGAATGCCAACAAGCAACCTATCAGAGACTCCATAAATGCATTCGTACTCGTACATGTACTTCATGCCTTTGGATTTCCGTGTTTTGGAACCAGGTACCTGTTTTTCTAAAGGTCAGGTACTAATTTATACCCTTCAAATTGAAGACAAGCAAATAACCACATCTCTGTCAATGTATAGTCACTCATAATATTTTCCCCAGCCCATGGACGATTCTAAATGGCTACCATTGTTGCAATGGAACAAATCTTCAAGGGCTCTGTAGCCAATTCTTTGGGCATACTGCAACTTTGTACCAAATCTCATGCTTTTTTATGATAGGCACAAGTCTCCCAAATATATATGTAGGTTTCACATGGGGGGCTACCAAGGTGGAAACAAGTAACAGGTATTTACATTTCCTTAATTGGGAGGTACATGTACAGTGTAACACTTATAACAAGGTCCTTGGGACTTTTACAAATTACCTTATCATAATAGTTACCTCTTATTATCAGTAATGGAAAACAAAGGGTTGGGGCTTTAAATTAACCTTGCAACTATATACATGTAAATGTACATGACCTTGTGTTAAGGGTGCTCTTATCTGTGTTCGACTATTAATGCTTACCAATGGCCATTTGTGGTCGCTCATTGCCAGCTTAGAGTGTGTCACATGCCGGCTACATGTACAAAGTCTGTCACATGCCAGCTTAAGTCCGTCACGCGCCACCTACCGGGTACAGTTTGGCATATGCTTGTTGAAGTGTGTCACATACCAGGTTTAGTCTGTCACATGCCAGCTTATGTCTGTCATATGGCAGCTAAATTTGTTGCATGCCAGCTGACGTTTGTCCCGCACCAGCTTATAAAGTCCGTCATATGCCAGCTAAGCTCTGTCACATGCAAGCTGTAGTTCATCCCGTGGCAGCTTAAGTCTGTTCCATGCCAGTTTAAAGTTTCACATTAGAGGGGGCTGCCTACACTTTTGTTTAGAGTATACATGAAGATATTATTGGCAAATGGTAGGTCTGTGTGTATTGTTAATGGTAGGTTGCTTGTTAAATCATTAAGATGCCTTCAAATCACATCTCAATTCTTTTATTTCAGAGGGCTGTGACGATGAAATCACTCTTTGCGCTTTTCTGTGCTGTTATTCTCATGACTACTGTGCCTAAAGTGCCTATCATGGGCAACATATGTAAGTTAGTTAGAGGGGAAGTTGCATGCCTTGGTCAAACCAGTTTGAGACTTGAAATGTTCCAGTGTGTTACATACATTTTCATTTTATGTTAATGTAAAGAAATCATTTTCAATCTTATGGGCTTTCTGTGGGACATGTGTCTTACTGTGTTTTCATATCCTCATTATCTTATACACATGCCTTTATTGGCACAATGTGTGTGTAGACATACATTTGAAGAGTGTTTGAAGAATGTATGTATTGATGGTGTTCGATGTAATATAACTGCGTGTATTATTGTTTTTCTTTCCAGCTGCTGAAGTTCTGAAAAGTTCATCCATCCTGTACAGACTTGGTTATCTTCTAGTCTCTGTAGAAGTAGCGAAGTCAAAATACTTTTTTGGTTGGATGTGGGGTAAGTTTGATGTCAGCCTGTACTTTAGCATTTTTAAATATCTTTTTACTTCTGACCAGCTGGTCTACACACAGTGAAGAGTTTAGCTAAAGCCTTTAGTTACAGGCTTTGCCCTTACCTTACGTATATACAGTCGACTCTCGTTAATACGAAGGCCTTGGGACTAAGTTTAGCTCGTATTATCTGGACCTCTCATATGCGAAAGCTGCCATCCTGCTTGACGTATGTATTAACAAGCAACCATAAGTAAAGCGTACATACATGTATAAAGCGTAAAGGCACATACGTTTTGTTATATGAATTTTATTTTAAGAAATTTATGAAAGTGAGATACAGTTTAATGAATAAAGACTTGTAATAAAGAAAGTTTTAAATAAATAAAAGAAAAAATATAAAATGTAAGATCGAAGGATGCGAAATTTCCACCAGTCATGTTGATTTGGAGCAATGCCGTATGACTCGTCCCTGGCCCCGCACGCTGTGATGAGATCCTCATGTACGCATGTAACGTAAGTACATTAACAATTTAGTTGGTAACCCTCACCAGATCTGTGCTTGTTGCTCATAAAACTTGGAGGAAACCAGCTATTGGTGGTGTGGACAGCAGATCGAGGGCGAATTTTGAGTTTAGAAAGGTCTGTGGATTTAGTGAAAAAAGTATTAGCGAGGGGTGCACTTTTTTCTTCAAAACTTATGGATGTTATTTTCTTAAACATTTTGGGAATGAAAAGCACAGATTAGTTATGATTTTCTTCATGTAGAAATGTCAAAATTGGAAGGGACGATATTTTCATGTTACGGTGGGGAGCGGGTAACAATTTTTTGACGGATGGGCAGATTTTTGGGTCACGGTACACAAATTTTATTAAGTTTCCTGGGGGACTTTGGTCTTGAGGATTTTTTTTTGGGGGGGAGGAATCAAACCACCTACATATCGTCGCACTTTTGGTGGCACTGGCTTGTGTTCACGTGGTTCGAGAGTCGCCTAAAAGAATTTCTTTGTTGGATACTGGAACTGCAAATGCCCATTGTTTGTCTCTCGCAGCACTGGACACAAATGGTGTGATTCGGTGAGGGAAAACTGCAGCGTCTGTATGCACATGAATTACTCAAGCACCTTTCAAAATTGAATGGACTGGCTGATTGACAAGTTGCCTTCAAATTTGTCAGTCCCGCCTAAATTGTGCACATTCCTGTGAGGGAAAAAATGTGTAATATGAGCTTGGATGTTACGATGTTTCGGTTAAGACAAGCATGAATTGCACACCGGCTGAGTGCAAATCTATTGTTATCTTTCTATGCTTACTGAGACTCGACTGTATATACATATACTGTACATGTATAACACTATACATAACAGGTTTTGCCCTTACCCAACGTATATTAATAAGCACTGTATGCTCAGTGCTTGTCCGAGAGCTTGTGAAAAAAACCTCATAAGCTTACTCGGGTGGGACTCGAACCCACGACCTCCTGCTTACTAGTGCAGATGTCTTTAATAACCACTTGACCACCGAGCTTGCAGGGGTCGGCTGGCTGGTCCGAATCATATGAAGCAGCGGATACTGCGAACTATTTTCAAGATGTAATTTTATACACACTATACTTTGCGCTTGTCTCAGAACTAGCGGAAACATAGACAAGCTTACTTAAGTGTGACTCAAACCCACAACCTCCTATAGATGTGTTAACATTTCCCAGGTGCAAAGTACATCTTGAAAAAGACAATCTTCTTGTACTTGCATTACCGGTGTAATGAAGAAGATGACCGTGCTCCCTTTGAACTTGTGAGAGATCTCTTGTCTTCATGGTTGGCTTCTTGATAGTTCACAGTTAACGTATGATGAGCCTGGCTCTAATGCTGTAGTTGCATGTAACGACTGTCATTGCCTTTTTACTGTACTGCCCTCCTTAAAATGTTTCTAATCTCAATTTGGCATGGAGTCAGGAAATAGCTCCGCTGTTTTAATATTTGGTCACACTGGAAGATGATGTCATTGACATGGAGTAAAACTGTGTAGTAAACAAGAAAACACAAGCTATGAATACATGTCCGTGCACTACAGTATTACTACACAAACATTACACATGTATGAGTCTCTAGTCTCAAAATACACTGAGATTCATGCTAATAACTAGTCAAATGAGTACATGTGCATGTAAATACTGAGCTCACAGAGCCCTACATATGTCTTTACTTGTAACAGGCCTATAAGTGCAGAAAATAACCATACACACCCCCATGAACACGTGGATCGCTTGGTGTGTTATATGTTGTTGCATCCTTATACAATATGTCAACATGTGGGTATATACATGTGTAAACAAGGTAAACTTGACATGAAAACCGAATGTTATAAAGGCGTCTAAACTACTTGAAACTCCTCTTGATAAGGAATAAAACTGGAATCAACTTATAGGCAATGCTTCACGAGGCGCTATATAGTAGGGCCGGCGACCATTTAGACCCGGTTTA